AGAAAGAAAGAAAGAAAGAAAGAAAGAAAGAAAGAAAGAAAGAAAGAGACCATTGGAAAACACAGAGGAGAGAAGTGTGCCTTTGAAGCACCAGATTCTACTGTTGGGAGAACGTTCGGAATCTTGTCATTGGCCATGGGGCCCTTCTACAGACAGCCCAGTGACCTTGCATCCTCTGCTCTCTACCATTCAAACTAACAGCCTGTGCTGAGTTTGAAGTCCATTCTCTTACCCTTACAATTTTCTGTTCTCAGCCTCATTTCAAGACATTTCCATCTTGTAAGTATGAATCAGAAGCACAATCCTATTTAATGTTGGAGGAAATAGATCTAGTCTCTACTACCACCACATAGACTACCAAAAATAAGCAAAAAATGTTGTCCCCATATGAGGTTTGAGTTAAATCGTATTTTCTATTAAATCAACCTGATGTTTGGCAAAAAAGTTTGAAGACATGATATTTCTGTATATAGCTAAAGATGTTCAGACATTGACCATGAATGTATTAATAGAAAATATCAGACTAGGATCTAGCTTGGTTGATAGAGTGTTCGCTTAACATGCATGAAGCCCTGGGCTAGATCTCCAACACTACATAAACCAGGCTTGGTAGTGGACACTTGTAAACCCAGTTCTAGGGAGGTGGAGGCAGGAGGGTCAGAAGTTCAAGGTCAGCTACATAGCAAGTTGCAGGCCAGCCTGCTGTATGAGACCATCTCAAAACAAAACAAAACAAAATCAAAAGGAGCAAAATATCCAGCTGATGTTTAAATTCATCCTCCCTGCCCTCCCAGTCACCTAGCTTTTTCATTTTTGTAAGATAAGTAATTAACTAATTTAGCAATTCTAATTAATAATTTGTAGACACTCCAAATGATGGTAACTCACTTTTTTTGAGACCCTTAACTGTGGTGAGACCAGGCCTTGCTTTAAAGCCTTACTAAATGCAACATACCTTTGAATATACACAAGTCCAATGCTTGCTTTATATCCTGAGCCAGCTGTAAATGCATTTCCCAGTTTTGATTGGTATTGACTGATTCAAATAAAGTTGGTTTATTTTCAAATATTACAGAAGAGATCATTGGGCTTCTTTGGGGAAGGGTTAGGCTGCTTTAAATGACAGCATAAAATTCTCTCTTTTTCAAATAAAGGTTATTTAATTTCACATGAAACGTGTTCTTTTTTTAAAAATCAAACCTAAAAAAACACACAGGTAGAACTGGATGTGGCTCTGTGGTAGAGCCCTAGAGTGCAAGATGCCTTCAGCTTCATCCCCAAGATAGAGAGAAAGAAAAGAGGGGAGGGATGGAGAAAGAGAGGGAGGAAGAAAGAAGGATGGAAAAAAGAAAGGAAGATAGAAAAGGGGCAAAGATAAATGAAGGAAGGGGAAGGGAATGGGAAGAGAAAAGCAGGAAATGAAAAGACTTGTGTTGTAGCTTTACCCAATTTTATTTTTTAAAGTAGGCAGACTATAAGCTCTTTGACAGCACAGGGGTAAGGTGAAACATTATACCCTTCCCAGCCAAGCTTCCCATTTCCTCTCTGCATTGTCTACCCAGAGGGAGACCAGCAAGTTGCAGTCTAGTGTGAGTTAAACTAGTCATCCATTCGTGGCCCAACTCCCTCCTGGTTCTCATGAGCCCCATCACATGCCCAGCTCTAAACTTCCAGTCTTAGCGTCACATCACTGACTCAGAGCTGAGGTTCCCAGGGTCTCTGAAGCCAACATGATCTCTGATGAGGTCACCTATGAGCTAAGATGTTGGCCACCTTGTAGGGTCTCTGCAGAGTGAGACTAGCCTTTGAGAATCTTAGAAGTTACTAAACAGCTGCATTGGGTGCCACGGTTGAATATGTGTGGTGATTTGACTAGTAAGCTCAAGTCAAGTTTGAATGCTTGGTCATAGGGAATGGCACTATTAAGAGGTGTGGCCTTCTTAGAGTAACTGTGACCTTGTTGGAGGAAGAGTGTCACTGTGGGGCCGGCTTAGAGGTCTCATTAACTCCAGCTATACCTATGTAGTACAGTCTCCTTCTGCTGCCTGCAGATCAAGATATAGGACTCTTAGCTCCTTCTCCAGAACTATGCCTACCCACATGATTCCATGTCCCACCATGAAGATAATGGACTAAATCTCTGAACCTGTAAGTGGGCTCCAATTAAATGTATTCCTTTATATGAGTTGCTGTGGTCATGGTGTCACTAGTAGGAGCATGGAAGACAGTGGTGCTGAGGGTGATTTAAACTGTGGGTGGTTTATTATGTGACCTAGAGATTGTTCTTGTGATATCTTGGTGAAGAATGTGGGTGCTTTTTGCCCTTGTCCAAAAGTCTGCCTGAGACTAAAGTGAAGAGTTTTGGATTAATTCCACTAGCAGAATAAAATCTCAACGCAGCCTAGTATAAACTCAATCATGTCATTACTAATGTTCACTCTTATGAAGATTTATAATGAAAGTGAGTGAGTTGAGTAAGTTAAAAACACAAAATGTACAGATTGAGGAGAAAAGAGGCACCAGAAAGTGGAATGGAGCTGAGTCCTATGTTCACGGAAATAACAGATCAAAGAAGAACCAGATATTAAGTGGAATGTAGGGAGTGGTGACCTCAGGGTAAGACCCCACCCAGCTAAGCTTCCAAATTGTGGAAAGGAATTAAAGAAAAGTTTAGTGCCAGGTGTGGTGGTGCACACCTATAATCCCAACACTCAGAAGGCAGAGGCTGGTGGTTCTCTAAATTCAAGGCCAGCCTGCTCTGTGGAGTGAGTTCCAGGACACCCAGGTTTAAGCAGTGAAGGAAGCCATGGAAAACAGAGAACTAATGAAGATGTGATTGAGTGAGGGAAGGATCATATTCTAACCCCAGCAAAGAGCAGAACTTGGCAGCTTTGGCCCCATGGCTATGGCTTTATAGTCAAGGACAGAAGAAAGGGATTGTGGAACCTCCCTCCATGACTATGGAAAGCTGCTGAGACCAGGTGTATCCCTCTGTGGAGGCCCAGAAAAGCCAATGCATAAAGCTGTGAAGCTGAAGTCTGGATTGCCTTGGAGACCCCAAGATGTTGGCGATGATAGAGCCATGCAATACCTGTCAAGGAGAGCTGGTAACTGGGAATGGAACCAGCCCAAGAGAAACAAGCGTATTGCAGTTAACAAAGCTGAACAGAGTTAGAGATCTGAAGAGTGTTTTGGCATCAGACATGCAGAGTTTAGAGTTTTCCCAGCTGGTTTTCCATCTTGCTTTGGCCCAGTATTTCCTCACTGTGCTCCCTCCCCTTTCTATGCAGTGTAAAACATATTGTAGGAAATGAAAAGAAACTCTGAACCCAGTTCTAGCTCTGTTCTCCCTATACTGTAATTTATCCCATATTATTCCTGAGTGTGTGTTTGTTTTTTCCCATCCCCTATCACCGAAGACATCCTATAGTGGACAAGTTCATTGTTAATAGGCAACTGGCTTTCCATGTTTCATTGTTGGAATGCAGAACTGTGAACTGCAGAGCCCATGCTCAATCAAGGGAGACTTCATCTCTCCTTAGCTTTATCATGAAG